ATCTTTCTCTTCAGCTGCTTATCAATTCATGCCTGCACAATGAAAACAAAAATCATGAACTAATTGCCAGCATGATCGATGACAGGGGCAGACCTCCATAGCATGGTATTGTGCACCCTCTCAACCCATTTTGRCAAGTAGAATTTTTTTTGGTAGTGCACACACTATTAAACTTTGAGGGGTGTTCTAGGATACAAGAAAAAAAAAAGGAAAATCAAACAAAAAACCAAAAAGGTGTCTCGAAACCAAAAAACGGGAAAAGTCTCTTGAAATCAACCAAAAAAACCAAAAAACTCTCTCGAAATCAAACAAAAAAGTCTCAAAAATAAAACAAAAACATAAACATCCCAAACAGTGGAATTCGACTAAAATTATATTGGGTAAAAAACCTTGCGATTGGCCATTGATCGAGGGGATCGATATTTGGTAATACCTGAAACTATGTAAGAGTAGTTGTCAAGGTTGCTCAAACAGCCTCACTAATCGAGGAATGTTTCTCTCTGTGCAATATAATGAGGAGCTTAATTAGGGCTACACATAAACACACACACACATATACATATACATATATGTGTGTGTATATATATATATATATATATACACTAGTTGTATACCTATGCAATACGGAGGTATKTAAAGAATATGATAATCCTTTCATTAAAGATTTTATAAACCCAAAAAACAAACAGATTGGTTTTTATTAACCAAAAAAAATTAACGAGAGATTCCTAAGGATAAAATGGACATTGAACTGTACCGCTATATTGAGGTTAAGGTCATAAATTTTGCCAATAGAAAGAATGCTTAAGCAAAACGTTAACAACCACATACACTTGCGAAAATGGTAAGTTGACATAAGCACCTTATGGCCTGTAGCAACCGGAAGCATTTCTCCTTCAGCATGAAAGCAATTAAGTCCATGGAAACACATGAATAAACCAAACCAAACGAATTCACTTAAATTGATCCCATAATATGAGAAGCTCATAGAAAAGAAACATGACAAACAACTCAGTTCCAAAAAAGACGTTGAAGATGGATATTTGTCACTCAGTTCCAAAAAAGACCTTGAATATGCATTTAAAATCGGTTAGTGGACCTTTCAGATAGGGACAGACCCAGGTGGCATGAGCCATTGCTTGTAAAAATATTATATGGCCGTGAAAAGTGTTACCATATCAATTTGTTGTGTGTCACCATATATATATATATATATATATATATATTTTTTTTTTTTTGAAACTACAATAAGGACACAAATTTCCTTTGAGTAGACTTGGTTAATTTGCAATGCTTTTCTTCCAATTTTTAATTTCATTAGTGTCATTTTCTTAGTTTTTAGCTTTTAATTTCAGATTTATTATGTTTCTGAAATTTTTTGCAATAAAAGACTCGAACACAGGACCTCACATATAACAAACAATGAAAACTAACCAACAGACCAATGATGATTTTGTAAAAAGTATTTGTATATTAGTTTTAATAGTCAAATGGTGGAAGCACTTGAATTTTTTTTAGGTCCGTCTCTATTTGAAGTGACGGAATATCTTACCACAAAACGTTGAAGATGAAGAAAGTCAAACTCCGAAATCAGAAACGAAGGAAAGCCAAACACAATCGATTGTGAAGCAAAACCAAAGATTTATAGGGCAAATTGAGATTCATCCTTTTATGGAATCAGATGCATTTCGTGGGAAGGGGTGAAGAGATCAACGTGTTGTACATTGTCATTCTGGATATATACTTTAAAGAATATGCTTAAAAGTGTAACTACTTTATGCTTTTTATTTTATTTTATTATCAACCTGGATATCTAACCCGTTATGCGAACCGATTAATTCCAGAACGACCACTTGCTTTGCAGATAGCCTGGAGTCACTGCATTTGAACCTCCGTGGCCACAAAGGAATTTTTATTCCTCCTTATATTTGAACCTGTGACCTCCTGATACTTTTGACCTTTAGAATCAATCTCAAACCAATCGGTCACCACCCTTGTGGTTTACTTTATGCTTTATATACTTGAGATTTTAAAATGGGTTCAGTTTTCCTCAAATATATACCACTTCTATATATCACTTAAAAACTTGAAATAACAAATTGATATGGTGAAATTCACAACCTTATAATTTTTTGCACTACGACAAATGAACGAATTGAATGGGTGGCTTGTGCCACCGTATGCAGTACTCTGGTCCGTCACGACAACTCAGTAGAGATGTTCTACAGCTCCTCTGCAACTTGATTAATTTTAGGAAGTGTAATAATCATCTGTTTATCGACGGGATAAAGTACAATGTCAACCACGGGTTATTTATTAATTTTATATATATATATATATATATATATAATTTCACTTTAGCTAGCAAGTTATCTTATATTAAACGAACCGTTGATACCCACCTGATAATTGAATATTTGCCGCCATTAACGATGATTCGTATTCCATTTCTTTTCGTCTAACACCGTGTTAAGCAAGTTCTTAGGAGATTTAAGTTTTAACAAAGTTTAAAGCTTCAATTTTGTGCTTTTTCATCTTTATATATATACCCTATTTATATATATAGACTTGAGATCATATAAGACCAAGACTTTTCGTGAGACCCGTAAGACCAATTCTCAACCATTGGATTAGATCTACAATCTCAACATTCATAATCACAAAATTGTCACGAGACTTCTCAATAATTACAAAATTGCCACCGTGCAATTTTAGACCATTAGATCGTTAGATTATGAAGTTGATCAATGAACATAAATTGGTCTCACGGGTCTCACGAAAAACCTTTGGTCTCATGTGAACCCAACCCTATATATATATATATATATATATATATATATGACTTCTAACTCTATAGCAAGTAACCTCGATAATCTCGATATGACACAAGTTTCCGTTAGGTAGAGTTGGTTAATTAGTAAGGCTTTTCTTTCACTGTAGACCCAAGTTTGAATTCTATTAATGTCATTTTATTAGTTTTTAGTTTTTAATTTCAGATTTATTATGTTTTTGAAAGAAAAAAAACTGCAATAAAAAACTTGAACACGAGATCTCACATATAAAAAAAGCAATGAACTAACCAAGAGACCAATGATTATCCTTATATTTGTTTTAATAGTTGCCAACCACTTGAAAAGAAATTATACATAGGGCAAACAGTGAGTATGAATCTCCTTTTTTGGGAACCAGATGCATTTCGTATGGAGGGGTCAAGAGATCAACGTGTTGTGCATTGTGGATAAATACTCCAAAAAAATATGCTTTAAATCGATTAAAAATCAGGTTTAGTTTTCCTCAAATTTGTGTCCTTATTGTAGTTTTAAAATATATATAATGATATACAATAAATTGATACGGTAACACTTTTCACGACCCTAGAATTTTTTATGCTACGACGGAGGAACGAAGGGGTCATTCTTCAACAAGGAGGTGTGCTCTCATCATGCTTGTAAACATTGTAGTCTTGAACCAACTTTTGTTCGGCACGGATCTTGCCATGTAATTTATGATTAGCTTGAAACGGCAACAGAGTGAGTCACCACGAAGGAGAGAAACTTCTCACCAGCCTCTCTACAACATGCCTTGGTCGAGGGTGCGATCATACCAGCACTAATGCATCGGGTCCCGTCAGAACTTCGCAACATTTATGTTACTACCGAGTGTTTTCTATGAAGCTTAATTTACTTGAATATAATTTTTCATCACTTCAAAAAGTCTTGGATAGTTTTGGAATAGTAAAATACAATGCCTAACCTCGAAAACCAACGTGCAAGTTAAAACTTCAGTGACTTGAAACAAGAGCCGATGGTTTCCCATAGCGTTGTGCCCGTCTTGATAACTAAACAAATATTTCGCGATGTGTAAGAGCGATTTGGAGTTGTTCATTAGTAGGAAAACAAAGAGTATTAATTACCTCTATTTGATCACCAACACGGAAACAAAAAACCAGGTGGGTTCGATTCCATGCGTCGACATTGTAGTCACTGAATTTAAATTTATTAAAGCTGATGTCTTAAGGTTGTAATTTGTCAGGATTAGACACCCTTCCAAAAAACAAAAACTAGGACAATAAAGAAATAGAGTTTATTAAAACTGATGTCTTAGGGTTGCAATTTGCCAGGTTCGATTCCATGCAATCGATATTTGTGGGGTTTTTTGCAATCAATTTCTGTTGGTTTTTTAAATCGATTTTTGTTGGTTTTGAAATTTTGGTCAAGCCCGGTAACATTTCATTTCAATTCGTTCCAGATTTTAATTCTTTTGAAATATTTTATTCCTTCAAAAAACATTCTACAAAATCAAACGCCACCGGCAATAATATAGTCATTAAGGGAGAAGGTAAACTCTCTGCACACACAGAGAAAGAAAACTCAACACGTACCACACTCGGTGGTTGTGGTGGTGGCAATGGGGTTAAAAAGCATGCATTAATAACTTGTACAATGTGAATTAAAAGTTGTAACGAGGGTGGTGACTCTTAATCATCACGGGATTTCAAAAGATCTGTTTGTAATAACATTTTAAATATGTTAAAAACATTTGTTTGTAATAATCAATTAACAAAAGGCAACTTGATTATTTTTTATAATTATTTATACTTTATTTTTATAAATTATCTATAAATAATGAAACTCAATTTCATTCCAAATCTTATGTACCAGTCACCTCAAATATTCCAAATCTTTCCACGACATTGTAATCCCTCAAAAAATTATATCAAACCATACACCCCCTAAGAATTTCATGACGTTTTCTTTCTACCCAGGCAATGCGTGGTAGAAACTATGATGTTTAGGTTTGTAGGGAAAGTTCAATTATAATTTATAAATATTTTGGTGACGACAAAAAACAATTATTAATTAACTATTCATGATGAATATAGCATAAATATTATCATTATGAAGTACGAACCTTTCAATTTCAAAAAGTTAGCATAGATATCGCTATCAAAGTCGTAATAAATTAAATAGCTTAAAAGCGGTCACAACGACAACAATTAATTAGAACCTTGGATTACGATAGTAAAGCACGCGTTTTTTTGGCCTAAAGAGATACCTGCTACCATATGTTGAGCGATACGCATCCACCAAAAGAGGAAACTGCAGTTTCATGTATAGAAAGATGGGTACTACAGCTCCTACACTGATGATAATCGGTACCGAGATCAATTTGTTACGGTATAACACGAAGAAGCTGACGGCGAAGGCAACCATCATGGTTATTATAGAGAGGAAAAGTGTTGTTAGACCTATCATCAACTTTTTGGGTAACGATATCAGGAAATCTTCTTGAGCGTAACGAGAAGTAAGGATGGATAAGAACATAAGGATGGAAGCTGACGACAAGATTAAAGAAATGGCATCCAATATGACGAACGCTTTGAAGGGTCCATTTTTGAGGAAGACAGGAAAGCCATTGTTTTGGTCATACCCACCTGGAATGGTAAAAGCTACCGAAAATACAACGGTGGTTATCAATGCAGCAACCACCATACATTGGTTGGCTGTTTCTTTCATCCACTTCTCACCTTCGGATACCATATCTTGGTGGTTCTCGGTGAATAGTTGAAGCGGTTTACGACCATCATTGTTCTTCTCTTCTCTACAGTAAGGAGGGACTTTAGAGCTTACTTCCTACGGTACACATATCATTGAAACCATAACTTGAATTGACTGATCAAAACTCAGAGAAAATTGAGAGGAAAAAAAAAAGATGCATGTATGTACCTTGAACCATAACAATTCACGTTGCATTTGAAAAACAGCTCCTGACACATCCTCATGGAGACTCTTTGCTTTCATTCCCACTAAATGCAACATATTATTGCCGTAAATATCTCTCATCGGAGTCATGACATCGTGCACCGACCCCATCTCATATAACAGATTGTAGATCCTATGATGACGATAAGAGGCTGCAATGTGAAAGATATTTTGTTTGTCATCATTTTTCCTCCACAAAAGTTCAGGATATCCACGAATCAGTTCAACTAAGAACTTGGTGTTGCCGGTTTCTGCTGCGACAAACAGTATTTGCAAAGGGTAGGGTTCGGCTATATCTTTGGGGCCTTCGAGAATGTCATTAACTTCATGATTCGGCCTTTCCATGATGTTGTTCCAAATTTCTCTCAGTAATTTTGTGGCTACACTTTCCTTTATAGCAGGTCGCCCCCAACTGACTGCAAGTAACACGTATGTATAGGTTTGAACACTATTTTTAACAAATTTTGATTAATTTAGAAATACTTACTTGAATTTTTCCATGACTTGATATCCTTAAAGGCACAAGTCTTTTGAGCCAATATGTAGAGTATCTCCCGTGCATACTCTTTTGAAGGGAATCCTCTTTGGTTGTTTTGGTCATCCAATATTCTTCGTGCACAATCTACATAAAGCATTTATATGCCAATCACTTGTGGAATATAAAGGGTACTTAAACACATGCATAATTATGATGAAACAAGAAATGTACCAAAGAGATCAGCCTCGATGCATCTCCAGAAAACGTCCTGTATGTCATCGTATGTCCAGTCATTACTATCTGACATACTTACGTACTTATCGTAGAGATAAACAACCATATCATGTCTTCCAGCTAAAGCAGCTTTACTGATTGGCAGCAAGTTAAGCTTGTTACGGATTTTCAGCAGTTGCGGATACTTTTCAACCATAGCCCTTGCCATATCCACATTTCCGATTCCAGCTGCACAATAAAGGGCGGTTTGGCCGGATATAGTTTGAAGTGCAAGTTGTTGTTCCGTCATCCGTTTGACTAGATGTTCCACGAACTTGATGCTTTGGGAATATACACCAATGTGAAGTACTGTATCCCTGTCTTCTGTGATACTATACCCTAGTAGATCTAATTCAGGATTACCATCTAGGATGTTTTCCATTGTTGTCCAATCTCCTATGACTGAAGCTTCATACAGAGGAACACAAATATTGATCGAATCTCTTCTTCTTCCTTCTTAAGTAAGAAATTCCAAAATTAAATTAATTATGGACTTAACCAAAATAATAATAATAATGGAAGGGCCTAAAAGTCATTTTGTATTTTGAAGAAATCACTCGGTTAATCACCATGGGAACCACATATGATACTATATTTCATCACATATAATACACATGTGATACTAAATCAAAGACGCAAAAGACTTGTGTTACCTAGGTTGTGGGTCAAGTCGCTCACACACCACTAGGCCCCTCACGTGTATTTTCACATGCGATAAGGGTGTTCTCGATATGATACTATACTTCATCACATGTGATATCAAATCAGAGGCATATGACCTATTGTGCGGCCTAGGTCGCACGCCAAGTCATCCGCACACCACAAGTCCCCTCACGTGTATTATCACATGTGATAAGGGTATTCTCGCATTTTCGTAGAATGGATGTGCTTTCATTTGAATCTCCATTATGTATATATAAGAGGTGCAAATCATATACAAACCTCCTATATGTTAGAAACTCTATTAACAGGCCAATATAGACCATACAATTTTACTTCCATATTATTCTATCAATCGTTGCATAAAAAACTCTGGTTTTTCCATTTGAAATCACTTGACGTTGTAATGTTTCATTGGTGAAATGATACTATATTCAAAACATATAAACCTCATGTGTTGTTTCATTGGTGAAACAACATTGTAGTATTAAAAAAAACCCATGTGTCGTAATTCATTGGTGAAATAGCATTGTGTATTATAGAAACACATCAACCTATGTGTTGTTTGATTAAGGAAACGATTGATAGTAATTAAGATGATTATATAACTAAGTTAAACATGTGTGATCTATAACGATACATAGAGTTTCTAACATATAAATGGTTTTTATTTATTTTTCTCATATCTATCAATAGCTACGTACATAACTACATGCGAAAAAGCATGCATAATTTTACTACCCCGTAACATTTATTGTATAATAGAACTTACGATCAAGTAGATCTCGTAGGCTGCAATAAATCCTTATACCAGTGCTTGATTTTTCTGATAATAGATGAAGACTTAGCTGAGGCAATCTTTTCGGAATCGGTTCGCCTTAGAACTTTATTTCCCATTGTAATTGCCATTGTAGCACGTGTGTGGTGTTGGATCAAGACAATATTTGGCACCAAAGATATGTGATTGGGAGGATCTTTCTCTTCGTCTGCTTATCGATTTCTGCTTGAACAATGATAACTGAAATTGTAAACTAATTGTCAGCATGATCGAGGACAGGGGCAGAACTCCATAGCGTGGTCATGTGCACCTGCTCAACCGATTTTGGCAAGTAGAACTTTTTGTATGAAAGGTGTACACGCTAATTAAACTTTGAGGGGTGTTTTAGGATACTAGGAAAAGAAAAGGAAAATCAACCAAAAACCTAAAAAAGTCTCGAGAAACCAAAAAACTGGAATAGTCTCTCGAAATCAAGTAAGAAAACCAAAACGCAATTCTGAAAAAGACTTGAAAGATGGAGATTTGTCACTCCAGGTCGTTTACTGAACACTTACCTTGTTAAGCGCTTACTGGTTCAATTACATTACCGGGTGAACATAACAAAAACAAATATCTTACCCGGTAAGAGGGAAGCCAAGAATTGAGAGTCTTACCATGTAAGCGCTTACCGGGTTATAAAATGGTTCCCGTCAATCCATTTTGATGGCAAAAAATGTTACTCATAATATAAGTGAGAATAGTGAATTCTGTCAATAAACGCTTACCCGATAAACGTTTAGTAATCAGCCTCTCAGTTCCAAAAAGAGACCTTGAATATGCATTTAAAATCGGTTAGAGGACCTTTAAGAGACGTTATATCTTACCTCGAAACGTTGAAGATGAAGAAATTTGAACTCCGAAATCAGAAGCTAAGGAAAGCCACAGATGGATGGCCACATTCGATTGTGAAGATAAAGCAATATATGAGTATGAATCTCCTTTTATGGAACTAGATGCATTCTGTGGGAAGGGGTGAAGATAAAGCAATATATGAGTATGAATCTCCTTTTATGGAACTAGATGCATTTCGTGGGAAGGGGTGAAGAGATCAACGTGTTGTACTTGTACTTTAAAAAATATGCCCAAAAGTGTAACTATATACATGATTTAAAATTGGGCTCAATTTTCAGGATCGTTCATTGGCATGTTAAATGTGAGATTTTGAACAGACCCGCGAAACTTTGGGGCCCAAATTTACATGTGTTTAGCGTCTTTTTATCGACATATGTAAAACTATAGCCGAAATTATTTTTTGGTTCAAACCATTAATGATTTGGTTTTAGGTTCAAATTATTAATGGTTTAGATTTAGTTTCAGATTGTTAATCGTTTTAGGTTTATCTCATTTTTATTCTTAATATATATTCTCTATCCTCTCAATTATGCAATGTTATTAAAAGTTTTGGATGTAGTAAAACCTTCAATCAAATATATACCACTTTTGAAATAAAAAACTAATAAAATAAAAATTAATAAAATGATAGGAATAAGATTCGAAATCACGTCTGAAATGACAAAAAAGACGATACAAACCAATTTCTCTACAACTGAATTCCAAATTTCTATCTCTTCAAAAGAATTTTTAATTGTCGTTTTGTAGCCCCAAAAAAAGGAATTTTGGGGGGAAATGTTTGGTGCACGTGTTAATTGAGCTGTCAGAATACACGTGTGCAGGGATTAAAGGCGTGTTTCCTATCTTTACTTTTCTTCAAAGTTCACCACCTAATACACTCAAACTACAAGAATCGTCCCTCAACTATTTCTCAATATGCAAATTCTATCTTTTGACGAATTCTTTACTTCAGACAGTCCCTTAACTAAAATTTATTTTCAATTCTAGTCCTTCCAACCATTTATTCTTTCAATAATCTAACCACAATCATGTCATCATGCATCAAACAAATTATAGATGCTTTTTTTAATCTCATATTATATATTCAGACAGTGGATCGTGTGAGAATATGAGTTAAAATAAGAAATATGAAAAAAAAATTGAACTGTTGATCGCTTTTATTCTCAAACTATCCCATGAATTACGCTTTATTAAAATAAAATGATTTTCATTTTTAGGAACATTAGAGATAAAACATTTAGCTAAATGATAAAAAAATGCAAGTTTATAAAAAGTTGAGGGATGGTTTCTGTAAATTTTATCATTTGAATTACGAAAGCACTTCCAGAACTTCAGCTTTTCTCACGCAATCCATTACTCCCAATTCCCAAACAAGAGCTTCTCTCTCCTCGCACGTGACCAAAATTTTAATAAAGCCCCTGACGTTTACAACATTATGCAACTAAAACCTTTGACTTTGAACAAATCAATATTGATCCTCTTTATAAAAATGCTACACCAATATTCCAAGTTTTTGGAAAACAATTTTGGAACTTGAAAAACCCAAGGTATTTTTTGGATAGCACAAATAATAAGAATAGATAGTAATTTCTTTTAATACTTTTATAAATAATGAGATCTCTAAAAATCAATAAATCATGTATTATTTCATATGATTTCTTTAATCTATGGCTAAAAGTTAATGTAGTGATTAACATATATTTATATCACAATGTGTTTGTTTTACATGTATTCGGTTCACAATGTGAATCTTTTTAGAGTGCTTGTGAAAAAAAACACACCTAAAAAGTTCTACACTATGAACCGAATATATATGAAACAAATATATGTTAATCAATACATTACGTACTATAATTCGATGAAAAAAATAATATGAAACAAAAATTTAAGGTAGAATTTCTCACGGATCTTATAAAAAATTGAGTTTTCAAAATGATTAAGTTTCTGAATTATAATATATATTCTTTTAAATATCAAAAATCTGATATTATATATTTTAAAGAAATAATCATAAAATAAAAACAATTATAATAATAACCATAAATTTGAAGTACAATGATTTTCTTTTTATAAAAATAATGATTAATTTTAAAAGATTAAAATACGATAGTTGAAAAGGTTCAATAACCGGTTTCAATTAACATAGAAAGGGGGTTAATTGTAAACATTCCAAAGAAAGTTGTTAAGTTTATAAACTGATCTAAACTTTAGGGGGCTTTACAGTAAATAATCCAAACAGAAACCTTCAACAATGTTTTCCCCCACGCCGCGTCCAAAGTCCAAAAAACTCGGTGACTTTCCGTGTTTGCATCCCTGCAACGCCGTCATCAAACCCTCTATAAACCACCCCTAATTCTTCCCAATTTTCAACACAATTTCCAGATTTTGAAAAAACATCCCGAATTCGAATGGTTGTAAAGATGAAAAAGTGGTCACCATGGCAGCATCAGCCGCCGCCTGCGACGGAATCCAGAAAGTTTCGGGTGAAAGTGGAGCGGATAAAGCTAGAAGGATTCGAACATGGCGGTGGAGGTGGAGAGAAGGTTATGGGAATGGAATTGAGGTGGAAAGGGGAACGGAAACATGGGTTGGCGGTGGTGGGATTTCACCGGCGGCGGTCGGGAGAGCAGCGGTGCAAGGAGAGGATTATCAGAAAAGGGGAGGTTATTGTTTGGGAAGAAGATGAAGATTTGGAGAACATCTGTTGGTTTTCAGCTGGTCCATCAAATGCTTATGAATTTGATCAACACAAGTTTGTTCCATGGATCATTACCTTCAAATTCACCTATGTAAGTTTCATTTCTTATACATATACATATATATATATATATATATATATATATATGTGTGTGTGTGTGTGTGTGTGTGTGTCCGATTTGCAGAATAATTTGATATCTAACTCAATGATGGGTTAATTTGGTACAGGGAGAATACAACAAAGGTAAAATGGCTGTGATTGGAAAAGCGTCACTGAATTTGGCTGAATTTGCTTCGAACGTAGGCTCTCTGATGATCGAGAAGAAGCTTCCGGTTGATCTCGAGGTGGCCGGATTGACGACACCGGCCACAATCTCGGTAAGTTTTTTAGATCAGAAACCCCAAGGAACGGTTTGGTTTGATGTAATGTTTTTGAGGGGGATTTGTAATTAGGAGGATTTGGAAAATGCCCATCTGATATGACATCTCTTCTCGACTACAGGTTTTGCTGAGTTTTGTGGAAATAAGAGATTCCGGCGAACTCGTTCAGGCGACTCAGTCAGAGGGTGTGAAAGAAGATGTAAGAGGCAACAAGAAATTGAGTATGGAGGAGGTGAGTTTGTCCGACTCGGATAACTCGGTGACATTTGACTCAGATGGTACATCTGACTCACGAGCTGTGACTCAGTCCTCATCTTCGGTTGCCATTCCGCCGGACATGGACAAAAAGGCTGGGTTCTTTGATTGGAAGAGGCGGCGATTGAACCGTAGACCGGTGAAAACGAAAGTCGAGGATTCCCGACCAGCCACATTTTCCGGCAACTCAATCGCCTCTGGTTCGGAGTACAAGAATTTAATTCGTAATTCGTTGCAGATTACGTGGGAAGCAAGAGAATTTGTCAGTCGAGATGGAGAATCGAAGCTCGATACACAGACATTCTTTGCTTCATTCGATCAATGCAGCGATAAAGCTGCTGGACCGAGCGCTTGCACCACCTTGGTGACGGTTATCGCCCATTGGCTCGGGTCACATGACTCGACCATCATGCCAACGGTTCAACAATTCGACACTCTCATTATTGACGGTTCCTCCGAGTGGAGGAACCTATGTGAAAAAGGGAGCCACGTGGACGAATTCCCCGACAAACATTTCGACCTCGAGACCGTGTTACGTGCTGGGATCCGTCCATTATCCGTTTCCCGAGAAAAATCATTTGTCGGCTTTTTCAGCCCGGAGAAATTCGAGTCCCTGAGCGGAGTCATGTCGTTTGACGACATATGGGATCATGAGATTAGTCGAAGCCCAGGGGTTTACATCGTGAGTTGGAACGACCATTTCTTCGTGTTGAAAACAGACGAAGACGGCTACTACATTATCGACACGTTGGGTGAACGGCTAGCCGAAGGGTGCAAGCAAGCGTATATCTTGAGGTTTGACCATGGCTCGTGTTTAACCGAAAGCCGGAACGATCAGGTTATATGCAAAGGAAAAGAGTGTTGCAAAGAATTTATCAAGAGGTTTTTAGCAGCCATACCACTTAAAGAGCTTGAAATGGAGGAGCAAAAACAAGCCGTTCCTTACTACTCGTTGCACCACCGTTTGCAGATTGAATTTAATTTTTGCAATACGGTGTAGCCACCGCTTCAAGGCGGTTTTCGACCGCCTTTGAGGGGTGGACTTGTATTTGTATATACTTGTATATATATAAAATAAATTCATGAATTCTAATTTATTACATCATTAAATAAGGTTTGAGTTTCCAAAAACAAATAAGATAATTTCAAATCAAAACATTTAATTTTATGTATGTGTAAGAAGAGATTTTTGTCTTTAGATCAATTATAATTGAATGCCAACATTAATGAGTTACATCGACATACATCAAATCAATTCTTTTTTGAAGCACAATTTATGTGTGAGCATGAAATTAAAAGTGATCATGGATTTAAATCTCGTCTTGGGTTTTTCATCATAACTTTCTTTCTCACACAATATTTTGTTCTTATATTTAAACACAAATTGTAGATTATCTATATTATCTTATAAATCAAATTTAACAAAAGTCTTAAAAGTTTTAAAATACTAAATGACCAAAATATCATTTATATCACTTTTCACCCCCTCCTCTCCTCACTCACGTACACTCATCCCCTCACATACACTCACCCTCTCATTTTCCTTAAAATTATAATTTTAAATTTATAATTTATACTCCTATAATTAGTTAATTAATTTATTTTACGTCTTTTACTTTTAAATATTTCATTTTAAACATTTATCAAATTAATATACATAATCGTATATCAATTAAAACATGTTTAAAAAATACATTTTTATTTTAACAAGTTACATCATTATAATCGTCTCGTTAATACTTTCGAAATGAGTCCAATATTGAATAGTTTTTGGCTTAATTATATTATTATATGTTATATATATTGTGAAAAAAAATATTTTTAATATTTACGATTTATACTTTTATAGTTAATTATTTATATATATACTATATATTTTGGGGTTAGGCTGTSCAAATTGCACTGTATAATATGTTCTTGGGTTTTTTTGAAATATATATATATACATGTATTAATTCAACCTTAATCTAAGTTTCTGGACAAAAAGAATGTAAGCAGTTGAAATTTCATTCTAAAACTCATCTTTTTTTGTTTTTTCATGTCTTATGATCTGTCAAATTTGTAGTTTTCTTTATTGGTTTTGAGTGTTTATCTTAAAAATCAAGTTTCTTGGTTCTTTGCTCTTGGTGTAAATCGAACACATTTGTAGAGTCGTTTAAATATGTTGGATTTTAAATATATTGGATTTTAAACTGTTATACAATTTTTTTCATCGATAGTCTGTAATTGGAACCATAACTCTTAGTTATTCAAATTGTTATATGTAATGACCAAGTGTAACATATATCATTGTTAAATCTTATCTTATAAAACTAATAAAACTTCAAAATCATTAAAATTCATGGTTCCACCGCATTGCAAAGGTACACAGCTAGTTTAATAAAATTTATTAATCTTATTTAATTATCAATTTATATTTTGCGTATAAGGTAGGAAACAAAGAGAACGACAAGACGACGGAAAACGCAGTGTTACTTTTCTGCGACAGTCACCCCAACAACCGCCGGCGATTTCTCCCCAGAACCAAAATTCTCAACAAAGAAGAAGGTTTTCAGATCATTGATTTGATATAAAACAAGTATGTCGTCAAGCGAGCGTAAGAGTTTAATCGGAACGAATCCTCCTTCTCCTCAAAGAGGCGGCTCCGGCGAAGACAAAGGATCTTCCATGACCCCTCGCGGCGTTTACGCCGCCGTCTCCTACATGGCCTGCGCTGGTATTCGTCTATTTGCCATATCCCTCTTAATCGGTCTGGATTTATGCAAATTTTGACGTAGGATAAAAATAGAAATTCAATTACGATGGTGGATGTTTGAAATCGATGAACAAATTGAAAATCTGTTCAGTATGTATGTAATAAATTTTCCTTTCTAATGATAAAAGTAGTGGATTTGAGAGAAGGGTGTGAGGCTTTTGGGGGAAGTAGGTGTATTAATTTGATCAACATCTTAGGAATACCATAACATGTGTTATTTGGTTGTTGTAATTTCGTATGGAACCAAAGATAGAAACCTCATAGCCATAGTTGGGTGGGTTTGGTTTAAATCCCTCATTCTTGTAGCATGGCCGGTGAATAGTGTTTTGTTGAACCGTCTGCTGGCTTCAGCCACTAAATCGGCTCTGAAATGCCTCATCACATGTGGTCCCTAGGAGGCAGGCTACGTCTGGGGCTGGACGAGGTTGCCGGGTAATCAACCTTTTGCCCAAATAGTGTTTTAATTGATAGGAAGATGTTCTCACCCAGGATTAAGTCTCTGCAGGTGAGGCCTTCGGTGTCTTAAACAGAAAAGAAAAAGAAAGAATTATATGTTGAAAAAAATGAAAGATTGACCAAAGGGTCATTGGTCCAGCTGTATTCAGGTTACTGGTAGATCTGGGAGTTTGTTTGTTAGCAGCATAATGAGCTTAATGGGACTTGGCTTATTCACTTAGTTATACATGACTGTTTGGTACTGCCTTAATGATATAGAAAGTGGTTTATTAAGTAAGCTTCTAGAGGAGAGCTTTATGTAGAAAGCCAAGTTTTTTTTTAAACCTTCCTCTCCCAATTAAAAAACAAGCTTCTTCCATCTATGAAAAAACCCTTCCAAACAAAAACATTTCCAATCTATACAAACAGATTAATCCAGGCATACAGGACTTGATGGAAGACCAACCAAACAGCCTCAGGCTCCTCCACGGGTTCAGTCGTTCAGGCCAAAGAGGAGGAGTGTGTGTGAGTTTTGCCGTACATAAATATTATATACTTAAAAGACAATATAGCTCTTTTTACTTCATAAAACACAATGAAAACCCAAAAGGGAGAGATTTTAGGTTCGAGTTGGGCTTTATTGGCCCTATTTTCTGACTATTTTTAGCTTCCATTTTGCAGTGATGTTGGTCTTGTTCAACAAAGCAGCTCTTTCGTCCTATAGCTTCCCTTGTGCAAATGTCATCACACTCTTTCAGGTACATAAACACCTACTAATGTATGTTAGTCAGTACATACTTATTTCAATTTCAAGTTTTTGCGGCAAATTTGCTTCATGTGTAAACTATTAAATATTGATTTCATTTCAAGTTACTTTATTTGATCGCCACCCTTGATATGCTATCCTAGTACTGCGTCTCCAAGAACTCCGATCAGATATCATATCCTTGGAAGTAAAGATTGAGGCTCCAACCACTTGGGTTGTGACACAATCGTAAAGGCTCAGTGGGATGTAATGGAAATCTCATCTTCCCTGGTTCGAATCCAGGCGCTGGCAAAACCCTTGTGGTCATGGAGGTTCACCTGCGATGACTCTAGGCCATTCATGGTTGCCCTTGGGATTAGTCGGTGCACGTAGCCAGGTTCAGATACCACGGTTACCCAAAAAGAAATATCTTCCCCTGCTCCATCCATCAAATTTGACCACAAATGTAGACTTCAATTGAAGCCGCTTATATATCATTACAAAAATGCATGTGATAGCTTTGATGAACCTTGAACCTTTGACCTCCTGAGAGGTTGGAATCTACTGGGAGTCCTGATACTGCTATGCCAAAGACCTTTTAGCAAATGCCATAGAACTTGTTGACACACAAGGATACATATCGAGCATATAAATACTTGACCTATGCATACTTGGATTTAATATATTTCTTCCATGATATGTATCTTTTGCAGATGATATGCTCATGTTGTTTTCTTTATGCATTGCGCTCTTGGAAATTTATCACTTTCAGTTCTGACATATTGCCTCTCACCGATAACTCCACAAAGTTTGTGCCATTGAAGACGGTCATTCGCACTTCACCTTTGGCTCTCACCTATTTACTTTACATGGTATGTGTTCTGTGTAATGTCGAGCGTGCTTCTTTTAGTTACTTCCACCGTCCCAAAACAACTGTCTAAAAAGGCACACGGTTTTAGAAATGTGTAATTAATACATTTTTTTAGTTTTTAGTTTTGGAAAGTAAGCACAACTTTTGGAAGTAGACACTTATTTTGGAACAAACTAAAATTTAAATGATCATTTTAGAATAGAGGGAGTACGTTAATTTGTGCTAATGCTAATGAGCATCCCACTGACTACTCCGTTTCTTCCTGAAAGCTAGCTGCTATGGAGTCTGTTCGAGGAGTAAATGTACCCATGTACACCACTCTTAGGAGGACAACCGTTGTATTTACGATGTTTGTCGAGTTTATTTTGGTGGGTCAGAAGTATACCCGTTCCATAATCGGAAGGTATCTTTATTTTGGTCGTTTTCTATGCATCGTGGGAGTTAATAAGCATTTAATAGCATCATCTCTTTACGTTACATAGTTTTTGCAAATGTAATCCATACACGTAACTTTAGAATCTCAAGGTTTTTATCAGTGTAGCCTTGATCGTATTTGGTGCTTTCGTTGCGGGATCTCGGGACTTGTCTTTTGACTCATACAGCTATGCCGTTGTTTTCGTATCGAATATCACTACAGCTATATATCTTGCAACTATAGCTCGTATCGGTACTCTTGCTTCTTATCTTCAAAACAATTTTGAGTGGCTTATGTCTGTTTACTTGGTGCTCGTTGTCTTTTACTGGGTAAGAGATGATGTTGTTTACCTACACGTTTGACTGACCGAGTCAGCATGTAACTGACCGAGTCAGACAGTGCTTACCTAGATTGTTGTTGTTGGTAAGCACTCACTACAAAACACTTGGTAAACAGCCATTTTCAGTCAGCGCTTACCCAAACTGAACCCCTTACCCATGCTACACAATTGAGTATTACCTGGTTAGCACTTACCCAATTTGTGTTGGTAAACGACCCCTTAGTCTTACTCATCACGATGTACATTTATCTTTTCAGGAAAAACAAGTGGTCTCAACAGCTTCGGCCTCATGTGGTGCAATGGTGAGTTATAACATCCGGACTCGTGCTTTTTGTGGAACTTAATGTCTTAAGAGTTCTAAACGCTTCTTATGTAGGAATCATATGTGGACCAGTCTTGCTAGTTTGGACGTTCATATGGGGCGACTTGAAGAAGACGATCAACTTTCCATATTTGTTTTCTCCAGGATTTGTGGTAAACTTTAAACACTGACACGCTTTTTGAATTTTTATTGTTGGACCCCCCCCCCCTTCTCTCTCTCTCTCTCTCTCTTAAAGAGCTCTTATTGAGGGTAATTTGATGGGGTCCCGTATATCTTACATGGTATCAGAGCAAGGTCTACCTCTGGAACATATGTGTCCGGGACTAGACACTATAGGACATTTGTGTCCGTCTAGCCTTTTTTGGAGGGTGCGTGCTAAGAGTCCACGTCAGCTAGATTTGGACCTTTCTACTTCAATATAATATTGGAGACCTTTCCTTTTCTCAAGGGCTCTTTTGAAAAGTAATATGACAGGATTCCACATATCTCATTAGAAAAATCGTTCGTTTATGCTGGTTCTAGTCTTCATGTAAAGCTTCTACTTGAATTAGTTTCCATATTGATTTTACGTTTGAATTTTAACGGGCAGATTGTATTGCTTCTATCCTGTGTGCTTGCGTTTTTCTTAAATTACTCAATCTTCCTGAACACGACTCTCAATTCCGCAGTCACACAGACGATCTGTGGTAATTTGAAGGTTTGTTTACTGATCCATATTCGTTTTCAAACGGATTTTGATGGTTTGCTTAGCCGTTCGTTCATTTTTGTTGCTTGCTCATACATCTGTAGGATCTTTTCACGATTGCATTTGGTTGGATGGTATTTGGTGGCCTCCCTTTCGATCTCGTGAGTGCGTGTGTGTGTGTGTATGGTATAAACTGAATTTTTCTCGCTCCCTTTTCATATCTGTGTGTTTAAAACGTTTATCTTCACAGTTGAACGTTATTGGACAACTTCTTGGGTTCGTTGGTTCGGGTTTATATGCCTACTGTAAACTAGCAGGAATATGACGTGCTCGAGATTCTTCCACAGCTAAATTTCACAATAAATGACTCAGCTCGCAAGATTACGTACGATTTGGTTCATGGTTCGTCACGAGAACAAAAAGTTGATTTTTCGAGGTTGAGCAATTTTTTTCGTTTTTATCATTGTGTTGTTGAAATTATTTATAAACCATTGTATTTGTTGTCTCATCGTAAACTACTTTAGAAATTATGAGATTATGAATACAAAATTTATTTAATTCATCTTTTTTTCTTGATGGAGTGATGACGTGTCTTTACCTGATTGGTAACAAAAAGTCGAGAGTGTCGATCAAATATTAAAAGAAGACGGAAATTTGGTAACGACATCTTCGTTAGTAATTTATCATGGTTGTCAAGTTACATATCCCGACCTCGGTTTACAACAAGCCCTTAACCAAATGAAACTTTTGTTGTCTGTCTGTTGACACATCTTAATAGTTACCAAGACTCTTTGTTTCTACAACTTGTCGTGGTAACTAGTTATTTTCATATCTTCGAAAACATCTGGAGAACCACAGGTCGAGTTTGATCTACTCGAAGTAGTCAACGCTCGATAATGCACATCGGGGCAATCAAGATTGTGGTACGAGAAGTACCATCTCACAACGTGAAACCATCTAGAACGATACTTGATAGCAACACCTCCTTTTTTCTTGTTCCCGCCGTTCTTTTGTGTGCCATCATACGTAAAGGATTTGCTCGATGACCTATTGAGACCACTGGCTCGAGTTAAGTCCATTTTCAATCAGTTTTGAAAGCGAAACCCGATATGATTTGGAGCGGAACGAGATAGTAATGCAAAAACATAGAGAGCTTACTTTTTTTAAGGTATATAATATTTATATACAGAGTATACTCAAACACATTCTTCTCACCTTGGTGAGGTTTGAACCCGGGTGCCACTGGGAACCCGGGTACCATTGGGAACCCGGGTACCACTAGGCAGTGACCCTTTGGTTAGAGAGCTTACTTGTGAGGTTCTCCATACTCAGAATCTTGCTTTTCTGATCTTTGTCTTCCAAGATTATAGCCTATGGATGTGTGTCGGATAAACCGAAGCTGAAAGGAAATAAAACCAAACAAATCCAGTAAATCACATATGAAATAAGGTCTTAAAAAGATAAGATGTATGTAAACTTCACCTTTATCAGTAATGCATATATTTCGGTTTCTCTAGAAATACGAATGCATACCTGATCATCGTCCTGGATACCATAACGTTCGATAGATTCTTGATCATCAAGGAGCTTCTGATCCTTAAAACATAAGCAGAACTGCGCCCATAAATGTGACCTACGAACATAAACGAACTCAGAGTAAAGCAATTACTAGGATGATATAACAAGGAAAAGAAACATCATGTTGTCCCAGAATGTTGAGAGGGGCTAGAGTCTAGATGAGTACAGATTGTCCCAGGGTGGTAGACCTTAATTTTGAGACCGTGTGAGAATATGTAGAGCCCAAGGTTTACTCTTCAAAAAGGAGCTCCCTTAGGGAGAGAAATGAGGTTTCAACAAGAAGAGATATGATCCACGTGGGACTCCAACAGATCCACAATCCATTGGCAACATAAATGAATTAGGGCATGTTCATTAGCAGTTTAATGAGCTTTATAGGACTGACAGCTTATTCGGTCAGCGATACATGATTGTTTGGTGGTGACGTAAAGGCATAGAAAGTGGCTTATTCAATAAGCCTTTACGAATGAACTTTTTGCGAAAAACCAAGTTTTTTCCAAACCTACCCCTCCTAGTAAAAAACAAGCTGCTTCTATCTATGAAAAAACGGTCTCAAAAAAAACCTTCTCAATCTCTAGAGATAGATTACTCCACACAGATTAATGAAAAACCAACTACACAGGCCCTTAATGACCATTTAAGAGAGGATAATTGGGCATACCATGAAACCTGTTCAGACAACTGACTGAATTCATCTTCAACAGCCTTCTTCAGATCTCCAACCGTTGCTTTCTTCGTAACAATGATATCTGAATCACAAAAATCACCCAAAAATTCATCCAATTCCTACTAATTATAATCGAAGTTTTTAAAATCAACAAAAAATTGATCAAGAATGAAGAAGAATACCAAACGAAGATCCATCTAATTTCTGAACAATGAGTCTGATGGGTTCCACGGCAAGCAGTTCATACGAAAAGGTTCTCGAACTGAGGCTTCCATCGAGCATCCATGGAGAAAAATGGCACGGGCTTGAAGAAGACGATGACGACCGGGAAGAACAACATGATGATCCATTTACTTCATCTCCAAATTCGTCATTGCGTTTGGACCCAAAATCCTCAAAATCCACCTCCGTCACCTCTTCCGCAAAGATCTGCATCTTTTAAACGATGATTTGATGGGAAATTCACTCAATTGAGAGAAATTTATGTGGATTATAATGAATTAACTTCAAAATCCCATCAAAAAAGTGGACTTAAAAGGGGAAATTCTTTGCGGGAGAGGAGCATTAGGGTTTTGATTTTCGATTTTGGGAAGAAGATAGAAATCTCTCTCAAGTTTTTTTGTAAAGGTAAGAACCAGGCATAGGCGTTTGGGAGCCATATTCCAAATCCAGTACAAAGTACAACTTTTCATGCATAAGATGCATCTCATAGAAGAAGAATTGCCTTGTGTTTAAGAATTATAGTTCTGGAAAAAGAAATTACCTAATTTCGACCACAATTTATAAGTTTGTAACCACTTTTTAAAAAAAAGAGAACATTTATTTATCGTCACGATAAACGATAAATAAACTCACAATTAAATTTTTCATGAATTTTTTTAATTTGAAAATTAAAAAATATTTCAATTATTATAAATCTTATTCATCACATCATTTTTATTCATTTATGACCCATTAAGCAAAAATAATTGAAAATTTAATTCAGTGCATTATAATTAGATAAGTCGGTTTATCTTATGGGTTGTTTGACAGTTGCTAAATGGTTTGGTACAGAATGATTAAGTGATCAGAATGATTAAGAGGCTCTCATCTTATAGTGTAAAATGAAATATAATTGTTCAGTAATTGTTTGCAATAGAATTAGGGCGTTGAATGGTAAAGGGAGGTCCATGATACAAAATCATTCAAAATGTTTTAGAACCATTAAGAGACAGACTTTTTTTTGTCAAACAAAATTTACCTCTTAGCAATTCAGAGACTACCTCTTAATGAAACTATTAAGAGGTAAACAAACAGCCCCTTAAATTTTCTTGGACTATCTTCAACCTGGTCACCAAAAGTTAAATATTAAAAACATTAAAAATGGTAGGTTCATTGAACACTCAAAAACATTTTTAGAATTATAATAATAATAAAATAATATATATTTATAAAAACTTAGTATTATATTAATATTTAATTTACAGAAACAACTTTATTGATCTTTACTTTTTTTTTAGTGTTTTAGTTGGGATTTGAGATAAAAACACCCCCATTTTTGTGTTTTCAAAAGCATCTCCAATTCTAACACTAAAAACACAAAAATGATCTACAAACATCAAAAATGATCTATGATTGGGGTTGTCAGTAATCAGTGGTGGGTCTACAAACTCAGGTGATTGGGGTCAGACTCAGGAGTGTCAAAAAAATTCCGAAACTGAATAATCCGTTTGAACCAAAATTGTTTTATGTTATTTGGTTTTCTGGTTAAACGGTTCAGTTTCAATTATTATTTGAAAATCAAATTATACCATAATTTTATATGTTTATCTCTAGATAAGTGGTTTGAGCATATAAAACATTAACGTATAACAAATCAGTTTATACTAAAGTTAAAGTGAAAACAGATTGAAAAGAATTTAATAAAAAGCACATAAAAACTAGATATTGCGACGACTAATACTGAGATTGTTTATTTGAAACAAATTATGTTTTTCTACAAAAGTCCTTATCTTATTATAAGTGAAATGGTTTAACTTTTTTGAAAACTCCTTATTACCGGTTTGACATTAATATAAGATGTTTATCCAAACACTCAATATTGCTTATCGTCAGTGTCACGCCGAAAAAAGTCAATGAATTGTTTCCCAAACATCCCCTGTCTATTTTTAAACGTATGTTTAGTGGTTTTGCAAATAATTAAATACTTGTTTATTTTACGGTCTATAATATTGGAGCAGTTAGAGATCTGCAGGTTAAACCGAAGAAGGATGTCGACCATGAAAGGGTCCCAACCGAGCAACAATCAACATTTACAAGATGGAAGCCCTAGCTTTCGTACACTTCCGATCCCCTCCTACCTTCTCCAAATTCATCACATCACAATCTAATTCCTCCCAAAATCCCTAATTTTCCTCTCGATTAATTGGATTGTCGTTTGATCCTCTTAGATTGAGAGGAGGGTTAGGGATATTGAGGGAGAAATGACGATTTTTTATTCGCTGGTGGCGAGGGGATCTGTAGTATTGGCGGAATTCAGTGGCACGCAGACGAACGCCGGAACCATAGCGAGGCAAATTATTGAGAAAATCCCGGGAAATAATGATACGAATGTTTCGTATTCGCAAGATCGGTGTATTTTTCATGTTAAGCGTACCGATGGACTCACGATTCTCTGTATGTCCGATGACGTCGCCGGAAGTAAGATAAAATTGATGCATTCTTATACTTTTATGTTTTGTTTGTTAAATTGATGGTGTGCAATTGCTTATGGAATTGTTTATGTTGCATCTGTAAATTGAATTCCACCAATATGAAGCTGGAATGATCTTTCTTTTACACATCTAATTTACTTTTAACAATGAAGATTTAACAGGGGATAGCTCGAAATTCAAAGTCCATTTGATGTGCATAATTTAATAGGTTTTCGTAGGGGAATCTAATGTTGTTTTTAGGACTAAGGAGCCACAAAAAATTGGAAAACTGAGTAAAATCTCGTAACCATTCATCTATGGTATATACATACGTATAAAAGTAATTGAGGATGTTTTATGGTTTCTATTTACGAGCCATTTTGGGTTCGTTTGGTACATAGACAAGACAGTTGTTCAGTGTTTGGCAACACATGATTGGTAAAATTACTAATTTACCCTTAATGAGTTGTTTGGTGATTAAAATGACACCAAACTATGAAGTTTGTTAATTTACAATTTTTATTTTATACCTTTCCTATATTAATTTTTTATTATTAATATTTAATAAGTTATATAAATTAACCAAAATATAGAATATATATACAAATAATATTTGAGGACGGTAAAATGAAAGTTTAAAGAGAACAAAATATAATAAATAAAATTTAAAGAATGAATGAAATATAAAGATGAAGACGAGTTTGATATGTTAGAAGATAATTAAGTTTTATTTTAGGGGTATTTTAGGTGACTGTTCCACTTTGTCCACTCTGTTGCATTTAAAAGTCATGCCAAACGTGGAACAATGACCTCTGTTCTATCTGTATTTGTCTTGTTCAGTCTACACCCTTTATGCAACATACCGGAAAAGTTATTTCTATACACATGTACATACTAGACAAATTATTTTTATGTAAATGTGCATACCGTACAGATGAATAGTTATCAGTGTAAATGTGCATACCATACGGATGAATAGTTATCAGGGTGTTCCTAAGTTTTCTAGTTTTATGTGGTTTTCGCTGAACCCAACCCTTTGTTTTTATATCGCATATAATTTGGTAAGCCATCTTCTAATTTTCTGGTCTGGTAATGTGAATTTTGAACTGAATGAAACTATAAAAGATGAAGCTTAATGAGGAAACCCATATGCAATCCTGAAAGGTCTACTTGTTTGGTTTTTCTTGATGATTTTCCCAATATGAACAAAGTAGATAATATTTCATATTTGCAGGAAGGATTCCTTTTGCCTTTCTTGAAGATATTCATCAGAGATTTGTGAGGACTTATGGTCGAGCCGTATTATCGGCTCAGGCTTATGGCATGAACGATGAATTTTCGAGGGTTTTGAGCCAACAGATGGAGTATTACTCAACTGACCCTAATGCAGATAGGCTAAACCGTTTAAAAGGCGAAATGAGTCAGGTCAGTGAATGATGTTGGCTATGATGTTGGATGATACAAATAAAAGATACGAACATTTGCTCACGGGATGCATGTTAGGAATTTTAAGTCGTAGATGATAATTGTTGGTTATGGTTTCGTGAACAGGTGCGCAACGTCATGATAGAGAACATCGAGAAAGTTGTAGAGAGGGGTGATCGCTTGGAACTACTTGTCAACAAAACTGCCACTATGCAAAATAATACGCTTCACTTCAAAAAGCGATCTCGTCGATTCAGGAATACAATTTGGTGGAGAAATGTCAAGCTCATGTATGTTCTCTCATCAACTCTTCTACTTTTGACATTTTAATGGAAATCCTAGACTCGCTGTTTGTATACTTGGCAACCATAAACTAACTTATTGAAAAACATCTTGTTTGGTTAAGCATAAGCTACTTTTTGAAACGCTACTTCAAGTAGCTTACTGAAAATTTGTTGTTTAGGTCAATTTACATTGTCATGTAGCTTATCCGCTAGTTTTTTACCAAACATGACTAAAGGGTTGTTTACTTACAACTTAATGAGCTTAATGGTTTGGGCGTCTTATTCGCTCAGTCATACACTGAATGTTTTTTACGGCTTAATCATTAAGCCATTAAGCCAAAATGGCTATATGGAATAAGTCATGACTCCTCACTTGTTCCCCATTAAGCCACCTCAAACAAATTAATACCAGAAATGACCTAGAAACAATCCATCCCTCCCTCCCTCTCTCTCTTTGCTTCCTTCAAACCTATCGGTCTCCCAATCCTCGGGGAGAAAATTTTATCCAGACAGACAACTTAACTCATACAAGGCTTAAAAGGAAAAGAAAAAAAAGTAAACAACCCCTAACCAGCTAGCTTAATAGCCAACAACTTCTTTTAAGCTAAAAACGAGATTATCAACTAGTTTGTTCGACATAGTCTAAGATGTTTCCTACAAGAATTTTGTATGTTGTAAGCTAATGTTGGATTCGGAATGCAGGGTTGCTCTATTGTTGCTTTTGCTGGTAGTAATGTACATTGTGTTGGCATTTGCTTGCAATGGGCTTACACTTCCTGCATGCCTTGCCTAGCCTAAGGTAAACAAGATGACTTCAATGGAGACTTGGGTTACATTCTTTAGAACTGAAACTGGATCAAAGATCAGTTTGTAGTTTGAAACCTTGATTCCCATGGCTTCTTTTGGCATGTCAGATTGTATTTTCTTTGTATCTTTGAATGAAACTACTTCATTTCTCACCCTCTCAAAAGTAATGGCAATTCTTTGAAATTAATTTTTTATTTATTTCCATCCATGATATTGAATTGTTATTATTTTATGTTGGTACTTGCGCAATGCGGCGGGATATAAAATCTGAATAAATGTAATGAAAAAGTTGCATGATATCCCTCGAGACAACGTCATGTAATTGTAATTCTGGTTGATAAAATCTATGTTTTGACATTGCTTTTTAAGATTAAAGTTTGAAAGAAATCTTGATTGAAAATAATTGTTGTATAACAAACCTTGTGAAATTATTTTTTAATGAACCGTACCAGAAGAAAATCAAATAGAGTCATTGCAAATTGTCTTGGGAAATAAAGAGCCTTGCATCCGAGTTGTTTTGAAAGATTTTTATGTATTAATGGAGTTGTATCTTAGGCTGTTTTAGTTGTACTTAAGAGATTTAAGACTTTTTGCATAAAAGAGTAATACCTCATGGAGTTTAAGTGGTTTTATAAAATAGTATAGATAAAATTTTCTAAAATATGTGTTGGGATGATAACTTTTAGAATATTTTGATGGTATAATGAATGTTAAAATCTCTTAAATAAGGAATCTGTTGTAGTTAAATGTAATTATTTTTATACATTTTGATTTTTGGTTTTGGAAATCTGTTGAAAATGCTCTATCAAAATTAAAAGTTAAAATCTTTAAAAGATTATCTATAATTTCTCTAAGTTTAAAGAATTAAAAGTAAATATCACTTAACAAAATGATTGGTTAAGTCTATTTTTTAGGACAAAAATTTATTTGATTAAAAAAATACTTCCACAGAAAAATTAAAAAATATTAAAATTTATATTTTTCAATTCTCTACCAATAGAACCTAATATTGACATATATATAATTTTTCTGTAGTTTGTTTTTATTTATCTCCAATCATAAGTTTTTTTATTTATAATTATGTAAATATAAAATCGTTTTATAAAATTAAAAGATATATATATATATATATATATATATAGATACATAGGGGGTCATTCAAGGGAGAACTGAGTTGTTTGTGGTAACTGTGAGAACCAATCTCAACCACGAATCAATGGATAAATTAGGAAACTGATAATTTTGGTAATTTGACTTAAAAATTCAATTAAAGGGCATTTTAGGTATTTTTAAAATCTCCTCTCTCCACCATCCTCTCTCCGGCGAACCTTATTCATCTCTCCGGCGAACCTTATTCCGGTAAAGAAATGATGCACACTGTGATACCGTTCATAAATTAACGAAAAAATACGATGTGATACACTTAATAAAACAACACTATCCTGATACATTGTGTTACACTCTCATCTCTGTGGCGAACCTTATTCATCTCTCCGACGAACCTTATTCCGGGAAAGAAATGATGCACACTGTGATACCGTTCATAAATTAACGAAAAAAATACGATGTGATACACTTAATAAAACAACACTATCCTGATACATTATGTTACACTTTAAMAACAAAATAATTATGGTGCACTTTATAAAACAACAAAAACACACTATAATACACACTGTGATACCACTGTGATACCAAATCTGGTTGATAAATACTACTGTGATACAACTATAATACCAAATATGGTTGATGAATATATATTGTGATACCCAAAAATCAGAACCTTTTAAACCCTAATCAATTAATCCTGTAATATAAGAGTTCGGTGTTGGAGAAACCGACGCAAAATCTCTTCACATGTTTCTAGATCTACTTCGAATATTTCGTCGGAGATCCTGCTCATCGAAAGAACATGCTTTCCTTGTCCAACTTCTGATCAGTTGTCGTCACTGGAAGTTCTTTATCAATGTTGATTTGATTAAACAAGAGAGGAAAAAAAGAGGGATAAAGATAGTTGAAGATGGTGAGAAGACCATTTTAGGTTCATAGATCTGTGTTGGAAGAGAGAGAGAGAGAGAGAGAGAGAGAGAGAGAGAGAGACGAGGCCAGATTGACATACCGTGATGGTTTGGGTCGAGGTATGGGGCCGGGAAGGGACGTCGGAGTTGGAAATCAGATTTGTATCTCCACCATGTTTTTCAAGATCCAAAACTAAAGAGAAAAATTCGTTGGTTTTGCTCACCCCATTACCAAATGGTTACCTTTGGGTCACCTGTTGTCGACAGTAGTAGGTGGATGTCGGTAGGATAGTAGGAGGCAGACGGTGGTGGGAGTAGCAAGATGAAAACAAAAAAAACGGATGGTGATGGTGGCGTTGGAGGTGAAGAGGATGGTTTGACGGAGATTGTGAGTGGCCGTGGGGGAAAGGCTGGTTTGATTGAGATGGTGAGTGGCCGTGGGGAGGGGTTGGTTCCCCATAGATGGTGGAAGGAGGTGACATTATTACATTAGGGCGGTGGGTTTCAAGGGAGTGGGTTTCAAGGGAGGTGGGTTTTCAATTTGTCAATTTACAAAATTATCCTTTAATTTATTTTAAAAAGAAAACTATTTATATTAAATGAGTGGTTCACATTGGATCTCACGGTTACCACAAACTATTTAGTTCTCATTTGATTAGGCCCCTAGATACATATATATATATATATACATATATATACATGGGGTAAAATATTAATTATATAATTTTTATAAAATAATTTTTGGGAAGAGTTGGATTATGAATAAAGTATAAAAAAGATTAGATTGAATTAGAGTTAAAGATTGGGTACGTAAAAGAAATAAAATTTTTTTTACTAAAGATTGGATTAAGTTGGTTTCCAATTTATTTTTGTTTTTATGTCTTTATAATTTACTAATTATTATTGTTTTTATCAGTTAAATCATTTTTCGGTTATTCAGTTGGGCTTCATGGTTTTCAACTTTTTTTAAAATAACTAATGAGAAAATTAAATAAGGTTTGGTTTAATCGCTTTCGGGTTATTCGGCTTTGGGGTTATTCAGTTTGGTAACTGGTTAAACCAAATAAGGATTTATTTTTTCTATTGGACACTTGCTCCAATAATTTTCTTAAATACGTCTTTTGCTTCTAATATATAATCGTATCATATATTCAAACTCAACAGTTAAATTATATGAAGTAAAAAATGACATTATTTTACTTCATACCACGTTGTACATCAAGCAAAAAAAATGTAATCTAACAAACAAACATTATCTACCATTAAATAAAAAACATTTTATAGCAATAAAGTACGTAAAGTAATAATAGTGTAATGTGTTATTTAGTTTAACCGATTTAGGGGTTGTTTGGCAATTGTTGAATGGTTTGGTGCAGAATGATTAAGTGGTCCATATGATTAAGAGGCTCTCATGATATAGTGCAAAATGAAATATAATTGTTTGGTAATTGTATACAATGAAATTAGGGCTCTTAATGGTTAAGGGATATCAAGGATACAAAATCATTCAGAGGGTTTTGGAACCATTAAAAGGCAAACTTTTTTTTTTTTTGTCAAACAAGATTCATCTTTTAATGATTCAGAGGTTGCATCTTAATGGAACTATTAAGAGGTAAACAAACAACCCCTTAGTAAAAATGAAATAAAAACCAAACTGAATAAGGTTCCTTATTCAGTTAACCGAACCGTTTAACCTTTAACCCAAATCCATTTGGTTCGGGTGGTTGCTCAGTTTCGGTTATTTTTTACACCCCTACGTATGAGTTAATCTCAAAGACGAAAATAACAATAAATTGTAAACCATAGAAATAAAAACCATAATTTGAAACCACAGGGTTAAGAGCTATAATTTTTAACAAACTATAGGGACTAAAAACGTAATTTACTCTATTATAAATAAGCGGGATACCTATCGAGATCTCTAAACATAATCGAGGCCGCGTCATCAGGCCGCATCATCGATGACGCCGTCGTTATCGTCAGCGGAGGCAGCAGTTTGTCGTCGTCGTCGTCTCCGGAGACCGAGGATCAACCTTCGTCGTCTTCGTCGGCAGATTGTGTAACGATCAAGCGACCAGGCGAATACGCTACCGATGTCGACAAACCTAATTTTTCTAGGGTTTGGTGGAGTAAATATTTCGAAGTAGGAGGTTACGATCGCCGTTCGTTGGTACCTTAAATGTTATTCGAAGGCATTGTCTGTGTATATCTCGATTTATTTACTAATCGTGGACCTTAGACGACTTCCTCTTCCAAATGGGACTGGTTTTCGAAGTCGATTCATCGTGAGTCGTGGTACAGGTTCGCAAAAGGGGTACTCAAGAAACCCAATTAACCCCTTCAACCTAACCCAACGCAAAATAACTCGATTAAGGATGCATATGGATGGGGTTGGCCGGGTCTAAGACATTTGAACAACCAAGTTAATGTTTGCGGTTTGAAAAATCTCAACCTATTTCAAGCAAAACTACAAACCAACCCAAATCGGTGCCATTTGGGTTGATTAGGATGAAACTTTGGTACTCATTTTATAATCTAGCTAAGGGGTTGTTTACCAAACGCTTGAAGCGCTTACCGACAATAGTCACCACTCTAATTTACCTTATGGGATAACATTCACGGCCATCAAAATGGATTGATGGTAAGCGTTTATAACCCGGTAAGCACTTAACGGGTAAGATACTCGATTCTTATCTACCCTCTTATCTACCACCCTACTGGGTAAGATTCCAAGTCCTTGTTATGTTCACCAAGTAAAGTAATTGAACTGGTAAACGCTTACCAAGGTTAGTATTTAGTAAACGGCTCCTAAGTCTTTATGTTAAAACGAAGTAAAATCAAAATGATAATATATGTAATGGCTAACAAACTAAAAATGAAGGTTGTAGGTTCTGTAAATAAGAAAGTAGGATTATGGTTGAAATTATATTATAATTTTTAACATAGCTAACTACAGTGTGGAATGTGCTTATGTTAATTAAGGACTTTAAAATCATATTAACTCCAAGGCATCGGGTTTATTGGGTTGGGTTCAAATGACCTTAATCTAATTCCAATCCGATAGATGTGGTTTGGCTTAATTTTATATCATATATGTTAGGTTACCTCGGATTGAGTTTTTTTTTTGTTGGGACTTGGGATGGCCAAGTTTGTCGGTATTTGAGCACCTCTAAGTCCCCACATGAAACAATCTGATGTCTAATCGAGTTGTAAAATCTTCAAACCATAGAGATATGGTTAGATTTGGGTTATGGTTATCTGAACCCAACCTGATATCCCTGGATATCCTTTTACTTCTTTCATTTAATAGTATCACAACTAATTTATGGACTTACAGTGATAGGTATGGATAACTATGCCTTAGTAAAGTCCCTATTAAATAATTATGATTATCAAGTCCCTATTAACATAAATTAGACAATTATACATCACATACCATCTTCATGTAAATATATTTTTATTGTATGTCCATCTCTATATAACTTTTTTGTATATATGCTTAATAAATGTGAACATATATATGCAAATTAAGAAAAATAGTTGAATGTGATATATTTAAGGAAAATGATCGATGATATAAAAAAAATTATGAGTAAAAAAAACAACGTATTCAAAGTTAGGACCCGACCAACCCGTGTGGTTTGGGTCGGGTTGCACTTTGTGTTGGATTAGGTTGGGGGTTTTCAACATACAAACATTTGGTTGAGTTGTTTAAATGATTTTAAACCGATCAACCCTAACCAATGAGCACCTCTGGTTTTCAACCAAGAAGAAGGCCTTCTTCTATACTTGCATTGTATCGTAACGATGGAATATCCCTTTTCGCCACAATTCTCTATCAATACACTAGCCTTTTCGCCCTCTTCATCGCCATCAGACTCCATTCCCAATGAGATCCCAAGAGGGTAGACTGGCGGCACATCAAAGTCCTGAACCGCTAGTAAGAGTTGATGTAATCGTCGCTCTACGGTGGTCATGGTGCCTTCACTGCCACCGGCACCTATAAGACCAGTGGATTTGACATCTTTGTATTGTAGGGAAGCTGGACTAGTGTTTTTCCGGTGTAATAGAGGCACGCAGGATGGTATTCAAGGGGTGTTTGATGGCGGCAAGGCGGTGGTCATCAATGCGAGTGTCTGAGGATAGATCTGAGATGTATGCTACACAAGTCAAACGGGAATTATGGCTCCACGCATGGGCTTCAACAATGTTGCAATATAGAAGGCTAAGGCTGTTGATGTCCCCAAAAATATGCTTGGTTGGTCCGCGCCGGTCATTTCTATAGCTGTCAGCTCYCCATGAAGATCTGTATCAAACAGTTTACTTGTTTGAGTTGTGATCTTTGATGCAGCTCCACGATTCGATCCTATAGCCTGTGAGTCAGGCTCGTTTATCTCGAGCTCGAATAACCTACTACTCGACTCGGGTAAGCTTGTTTACACCCTAATGTTATGCTTGACAAACTATATGATTACTGATAAGTAGTTGGTAGCTTATAAAGACTAGCTTATAAACATTTAAAATGACTAAAAAAGGTTTATTGAATAAATAGTCAATCACAAATATTTCATAATATAATTCAAATAAATTTTAATAAGTATAATTAAAAACAAATTTCTAATAATATAATATGTTAATTAATACAAACACGAAAGTACAGAAAACCTGAATAATATACATGTTAATGGAAATA